AAAAAAAAAAAAAAAAAAAAAAGCATAGGCAGGGTGGTGCATGCCTGTACTCCCAAGGCCGAGATGGAGGATCACTTGAGCCAGGAGGTCGAGACCAGCCTGGCCAACATAGCGAAAATGTCTCTACTGAAAAATCAAAAAATAAAAAATATTAGTGGGGGTGGGATGGTTCACACCTGTGGTCCCGAGAACGAGGCAGGAGGATTGGCCAAGGCAGATGTAACCAACACCACAATCACGTCCCATAAGTAAATACATTTTCCTCTCTCCAGGGCTACAGCTAAAGGATGGTAATTGTGCGCACCACATTTAGATTCCCTTTCAAAAATGTAATCAGAGGTTGGAGGGCCTTGGACTGTTTTTTCGTTGTTGTTGTTGTTGCAACAGATATAGAAGCCACTTAAGAATGAACGCCGTGACTAAGTAAAGCAAAGCTCTGCAAATGTGCTAGTTTGGAAAACATTGTGTCTTTCAAGTAGAAAAATCACAGATGACTATTTTTTTCTTCCCACAGTTCAGACTAGAATACAGATGTTTAACCCAAGATCCAGGGATGGTCCTCAGAGAGATCAAAATCTCCTGACGGTGCCTGACGACCACCCACTTTACCGTACAAAGTGTGGCTGGAGAAGGAAACAATATTCAGCAATATCACTGCCCACGGATGATGCACCAATCAGGGCAGTTAGTGAACTCCACCTGGCCAATCAGAAGTCAGAACAATAGGCAGAACAAGCGAGGCCGATGTGGCTTGTATCAGTCCAGGCTCCAGGGACAGAACCTTCTCAAAGTGGGGGTGGAGACTCTGATTTTCCCGCCTAAAGCGTTCCCTGGGATTGCTCTGACTTTCTCTCCCTTTCCATTCTTCCACACTCAGAGTAAGCATGCGCTGATTTTCTCTTTCCACTCTTCCTACTCCTCCCCTCCTCTGCGGTGCATTTGTTATCTAGTTTTAATAAGGAATGTATATGAGGCAGGCCACCATCTCAAATCCTTCCTGTCAGTTTCTAACTTTTTCAGGTTTGGGATTTTTCCTAGGAACTCTATCGTAACTTAAGAAATTTGGGCTGGGCACAGTGGCTCACGCTTGTAATCCCTGCACTTCTGGAGGCCACAGCTGGTGGATCACTTGAACCCACAAGGCGGAGGTTGCAGTGAGCCATCATCATGTCACTGCACACCAGCCTGGGCAACAGAGTGAGACCCTGTATAAAAAAAAAAAAAAGAAAAAACTCACTAAAATATTTCCTCCTGGGCTCAAGCGATCCTCTCACCTAGGCCTTGGGACTACAGGTGCACACCACCCAGCTTATGCTCTTTTTTTTTTTGGTTTTTTAGTACAGATGGTTTCGTTATGTTGGCCAGGCTGGTCTGAACCTCCTGGGCTCAAGCGATCCGCCCACCTTGACCTCCCAAAGTGCTGGGATGGTACAGGCTTGTGCCACTACCCCCAGCTAATTTTTTGTATTTTTTGTAGACACGGGGGTTTCGCTGTGTGTCCCAGCCTGGTCTCGACCTCCTAGGCTCAAGTGATCTGCTTGACTCGGCCTCCAAAACTGCTGGGATTGCAGGAGTGAGCCACCACGCCTGGCTGATTGCTGCATCTTGAAATGCCCCACATTCTCTCTAAGTGACGGTGGGCTCTTGTGGTCTCAGAAATTCAGGCTCTCTTCCTTCTGATAATTTACAGATCACCCAGTAATAGCCTCTAAACACATTCATTGTAGTGATGCTCATTTCTCTTCAACAGAACAGAACCCCCCATCCCTCTGCCTGATCAGATCCATCACCAGAGAGACCATGTAATCTCTGGGACTCACTTCCCTTCCTTTATTTATTGAGTGGGGGTGTCAGAATGTCCCCCACTGAATTACATAGTCACATTCCTGCCTCCCCAATAAGGGTCTGTGTATCTTTCAGGGTAAGACTAGCCCCAGGGAAACTACTAACAACATTAGCCAATCCCCTCCCAAAGACTCAAGGCTGCTTTGCCCATAGGAAACTTGTCATCCCCAGTCGATATTTCTCCCACAGACCCCTGGCTCCCTGTTTTCATCTGACTTCTCCCCAAGTCCTCACTCAGCGACAGATAAGCCCCGGATGGAGAAATGCAGCACCTGATTCCAGGTGACAGACTGGCAGGGTTTCACCAAAGGTCCTGCAGCTGAAAAGACTCAGACTGTTTCTCTTACAGGTCAGACTGCTCCTGGTACCATGAGTGGAGACGACGCCTCTGCAAGGAGACCTAGGGTTGGGGCTCAAATACCAGAGAAGATACAAAAGGTAAAGTAATCTGGAGCGGGCAGAGTAGTAGCCCAGGGGACAGTGTGGGGTGACTAGGTTTCTGAGGAGGGGAAGACAAAGATACTGGGGACGAGGAGCAAGGTCTCGGTGTGATCTGGACCCTTGGGAGCCTCCCATCCTCGCTCTGTCATCACCTAGCATCCCTGGAGACAAGTCTGTGACCATGCACTACATTTGGTGACTGTCACTCCATTCTGGAAGGTGGGAAGAGAGCCAGCCAGCAGCATTAAAGCCCTACTGTGTGGCAGGGGAGAAGCTAGGGTAGGTCCCCGATGTTGTCTCAGTTAGCCATGGCATCAACCAGGACGGATTATCATCCCCACTTCCCAGATCCAGCACACAGGAAGCAGCTCCAGCTGAATGGCAGACATGCCTAGCTGAGTCACCACCAGAATTTCTTTTTTTTTTTCTAGGCCTTCGATGATATTGCCAAATACTTCTCTAAGAAAGAGTGGGAAAGGATGAAAGTCTCAGAGAAAATCGTCTATGTGTATAAGAAGAGAAAGTATGAGGCCATGAGTAAACTAGGTAATAGAAAGTTCTAGGTACAGACAAGTTTGGGGACACATGAGCATCCCTTCTCCTACCTAGGCTACTTCTTAGACTGCAGAAAGTACCCCACATTTTCTTCTACGCAGGGAAAAATCGCAAGGCAGCTTCTGGGTGTTCTGTTCTTCTGGGTGTTCCTGACAGAGCTGAGGGCAGGGATTGGCAACAGTGGAGCTCATACCTGGATCCTGCACGTTTCTCACGCATAGGCGTCTGTTCTGATGAGTCCAAGTGTCTCTGTGGCATCCCAGGCCCCCCCATACCCTCCTTTACACACACACACCCTACTTTCTCTCGGCTTGTCTCTCTCTCTCCCTCTTTTATCTTTTTTTTTTTTTTTTT